CTCTCTCTCTCTCTCTCTCTCTCTCTCTCTCTCTCTCTCTCTCTCTCTCACACACACACACACACACACACACAGAGTCCTGTACACACTGCACATGTAGACGTATTGAATTACATATGTGAATGTGGAAGGTTCTGCCTTTTGTGATTCAGGAATCCAATACCACCCAAGCATTGATTATATGGACTCTCTCTCTCTCTCTCTCTCTCTCTCTCTCTCTCTCCGTCACCACACACACACACACACACACATGCACATACCGTAAAACCCTAAACCCCCTGCCTTGCCTTTTTTCCCGTGATTCACGACTCATCCCACATACACCCATCTGCGTTCCATGCCGCTTCTCTCTCGATTACCAACCTATCCCAATAAACCGCGATTCCTCTGTACGTGCGCCGCATGCATACCATACCATAATAATAAAAATACTAAATCCCGCTTCCGTAATGAACCCCTGCGTCGGTGTTCTTTTCCACATAACAACAATGCCATAATAAAGTAATAACATAGAAACAGTAATACCAATACTACTACTACCGAGATTGTAAGGAAAAAAAAAAAAAAAAAAAAAAAGGATTGTAAGAATAATAATAGTAAATTAACTAATCAAACGGCACTTTCCAGACTGAACTCGCATACCTGGCCATGGAGGACGAAGGGACCGAAGGCTACGGCAACGACGCCCAGCACGCTCCCTCCTAGTTTGACGAAGCTTCCCATGGCCTTGCCCACATTTCCTCCACAGTAATGACGAAGAAGATAGACAGCGTACAGCGGACCGGCCACAGCGAAGAGATGCTTGAAGCAGACGAGGATAGCAAAGACGACGGCTCCCTGCAGATCCCGATCGCCTCTCTCCATCATCGAGAGAGAGAAGATCAACATACCCATCAGCATCCCATTATACTGAAAATGGATATGGTCCACGATCATCAGGCCAGGAGAGAGGAGAATGGCAAACCCTAAGAGTCGGTCTCTTTGCGCAGTCCAACTCCATTGCTGCCCTCCTCGCAAGAAGTAATAGACGGAAGCGAAGAGGATGATGTCTGCCGCCATCACTGTAGCTCTTTGGAAGAGGACAGCCCTGTCGCTGGCGTGGTTCAGACCTTCCTTCAGGTGGACCATCTTGGGTTCCACGTGGCTCGCAGGAACGGACAACAGGCGTTCAAACCAAGCGAAAAAAGGCGGGTAATCTAGCGTCCATGGTGAAGTTTCATCGACATACCACTGATTAATCGGCAACGAATGGGTCACGGCCAGCCAATTGCGATGGACCTCAAAGTCCGTACTGTGATAAGATGGGACCAGCAATAACTTCAGACACGTGGCAATCACAAACAGGCGAAATAAAGCAGAGAGTGACACGTGTCGGGCAGAACACTGGGACTCCTTCGCATCGCGAGAGCTCAGCACAGACTTCATGCCCTTCACCCCGCCGCCAACGGCTGCCATGTTCGCGGCGTCACGTACACGCCGCCGCCGCCGCCGTCAGGCTGTGGCTAACCCCCCTTCACCCCTCTGCCCCCCCGCTTCGTCCCGCCGCCCCAGCGCGGGAAAATGCCGGGCTTGGTGTCGGAGGAGCAAAAAGTTCAGTGAGCGGGGGGCGTGATTAGGTAGGTAGTACTACTGCGCGGGAGACATGTGGCATCCACGTGTCCGCATGCTCTGCTCCCTGAGTCGGCGGTCTTCTCTGGGCTTTTTTTTTTTGTTTTAACTCGAAATTCAAATTTCCATTTCATCGTCAACAACCGCTGAGTCAACAGTCTTCCGCATTACCGCCTTCCGTTTTTGCAAAAATGCAATCATCGGATCGCGCTCACTCATACTATAACCTTTTTTTTCTTTTTTTCTTCTTTTTTTTTACTAGAACTTCTGCACCTGGACGGATCTGACGGCAATCACGTCAGGATTCAAATTTTCCATTTGTCGGTTTACGCGCGCCTTCCTTGAGCAGTGCCATGCTATGCTATCCTCTCTATATCGCTCCAATGTCCCTCCTACGTAGTGATCTATAATCCTTTTTTGTCGGGTGGCGGCGGGGCCGGGCCGATCCGATCGGCGCTGGAATTGGCGTTGGCGCTCGCGTCTGTGCTCGCTGCGGCACGAGAGTCCTGTGGCCTGTCCGGGGGCGAGGTCCCATTAGCAAAGAGGTTCGGATCGAATGCCTGAATCTGGACGAGGTTATGGAGATGTGCAGAAAATCGCCATTGAAAACTGCTCTTCTGCATCTCTGCATAAAACACATCCAGATTCATGAACTCGATCCTATCCTTTTTGCTACAGCAGTGGGACCTCGGGCCGGTAACGTGGCTACACCATGCAGGCTTACGGTACCCGGGGCCGTGTCCCACTCGTCGAGGTTCAGTTCTGGTTTCGAGCATGCATGGCTCCCTGCCATCCGATCTGAAAATCTGATGGCCACCGTGTGACCACGTCGAAAAATATACGAGAAATATGAACTAAACTCCCGCTAGTGGGACATGGCCCCTGGTTTCGCCTTCACCGAAACCTTGGACAGCCATGGCATGGTTTTTCTATATCGATCGCAGTAACGTGGCTCTTTCAAGGAACGCGAACCTTGGACAGCCATAGCTTTTACTGCCGCCAACTTATGTCCATGCAACCATAGCTCACTAGGGCGAGCATAGTTAATAGCTGATGGTCTCCTGTTACGATGCTTGTGGCACGTGGTAATTTTCTATTAGCCACGTCACGTATGTCTAACCAGCGGCTTCGAGCATTTCAAGATCTTAGTTTTGTGGTTTACGGCCACATCTTTTTTTTCTCTTTTTTTTTATAGCAGGTCAAATCGAGGCCAGGGACCTCACAATTCAACCCGGAAATTAGCCTTAAAAATTAAAAAATTAAAAAAAAATAAAAAATTAAAAAAAAATAAAAAAACACAATTCAACCCGGAGTTATCCTGGCAGCATTAGCCAGTTTCGCTTATGAGCCACAAGCTCGTTCAACGATCACAGGAGACCTCAGGGAAGTCTAGGAACGGAAGTCACCAAATCTAGGCCGCTGAAATCAGAGTACTATTCAAATCTACTATGAGAAGAATCATTCAAGCGGATTGGAGAAGGAAGAGCCAATGTAGCGGACCCACCAGGTGTGGTGCTCCGCTAGTGGTAGAGATGAAGATGGAGGAAGAAAGGGGGAGCGAGATGGCACAACGCAGCTCCCCACGCAAGACTCCAACGCACGTACTCCAAAAATGTGCTAGTGAAGAATGAGGACGAAACAGACAACTGTTGGGGTATACCCCAGCGGACTGACTGGACTGGACTGGACTTGCTGGTACCGACAGAGGTACCGGCCTGGACTGGACTGGAATGCCCTCGAATAGAACACAGGTCTGTGAGAACAGGCCAAGGGGCTGGTCTCACAGGCCAACCAGAGGTCCGCTACATGATCCTCGGCCTGTGATGGATCGCCTAGATGCAAACACTCTTCCGCCAAGAAGCGGAACTCTACCAAAGAAAAAGAAAACCTGAGTAGTTTAGGATGCGGAGCAAGCTCCATGCTGAGTCCATGCGATGCAACCTAGGATAAAAAATGTCACAAAACAACAATGTCACAGCTAACAGCCTAAGTGAAAGCAAAAACAACTAACTGGCATACATGTCCTAGGAAAGCAAAAGCAACTAACTAGCATACATGTCCTAGGAAAGCAGAAAGTAGTGACAACTAGATCCTAGAATGTTGGAGGCAGTAGCCTCAGTCTGGGAACAGCTGACTAGTGTATAAGTCCTAAGAACAGCAAAAGCAGAACAGCTAAATCCTAGAAATGTCAGAGGCAGTAGCCTCAGTCTGAGAGCAACAAAGCAACAACAAGTCAACCATATGTCGCAGGAGAAGTGTGCCGCAAACCAAAGGGTGGGATGGTCTCTGAGGGTGGCGAATGCAGCCTAGGGGTCGAAAACTCCTAAGGGCATCCACACATAGTGACAGGGGGAAACACATGTCATCAGGCTCAATGAGGGTAGGGAACTGGGAGCGAACAGAACCAATGACCCTAACAGATAGACCATCAGGGCGGGTAATGCTCGACTAAGGGGTGACCGCTATGGAGGGTCGACCATGCAAGGGAACAAGGGAGCCTGGTATACTGTGCGTACCTAGATGAAGCATGCGGGGCTGCCTAACTAGGGCGTGAGTGCCCGCGAAGGGTAGAAGGATGATAGGTAAGGGAATCATGCAAATGACTCCTAAAGTGAGGGAAGTCGGAGCTAGATCCGTAAGATGGGAAGCCAGGGCAACGCTACGGTCCCGATGCCTATGCGTATACCAAGGGAGAGCCCAACTCAAAGGAACCCGGCTAAAGGGAGACCATCATGCGACACAAGCAGGGTACTGTACAGGGTAAAGTGGTAAGAGAGTGGCGACGTCTGGAGTAGGCAGAGCTGATCGTGACGAGGTCCATAAAGTTGCCGATGACGTCCACGATGAGAAGTCCGGAATGTCGTCGAGGAAGAGCCGTAACGTCGACGAGTTGAAGTAGCAAAACTGATGTGGATGGAGTACTGAGAAGTCAAAGACGTGGGAAGGTAAGTCAGAGTCAATCCTCGTATCGAGCAGGACGACTACGAGTGCGTTGTGGAAGCTTAGAAGCATCCGACTGCTGCTGAAGGTCTGCCTCCGATGGAGCAGGCTCGACTTTAGCGGTCTCCTCAGCCGGGGGAGAAGGAGGAGGGTCAGTGGGCTGAGGAGGAGCAGTGGACCCAACACGACGAGCACGGTCATAGGCACGCACCAACATGCGAGCGTGCTGCAAGTGCTCGAGGGGCTCCCAGGTAGCCTCCTCATCCGGGTAACCCTTCCAACGTACGAGATACTCGACGTGGGGAGGGTTGTCGTCAGTGACTCGGCGACCAATGATGTCCGAAACGAGGAACTTCTCGTGGCCGTCCACCATGATGGGTGAAGGGCGCTCGTATGGTCGTCCAGCGAAACGCTCGGACGGTCTAAGGTAAGGACGCAGTAACGAGACGTGGTAGACATCGTGCACACGAGCCTGGCGTAGGTAGTCGGACAGCTTCACACGAAAGTTGACCGGGTTAGATGCCGTATTAGAACGGGCGGCCTGGAGGATGCAGCATGGGTCAAAGAAGCGACGCCGAAACTTGCGAAGCGTGTCCGCTTCGAGCTGTAAGTGGCGGGCGTCGATAAACACATAATCACCGACTTTGAATGGATGATCCATCCTCGATCGGTTCGTAGGTGCTGCCATGCGAGTCTGGGAAGCGGCTATGTGCTCATGTGCGGTCTTCATGATCGACGTCATGTGTGCAACCCAATCATCCAGCACGGGATAACTCGTGTCGGGGTGCATCTGTGACGGTCGGAGGAAGTCCGCGGGAACACGATGGTGATAGTCGAGGTCGCAATAATAAGGCGACATCCCCGTGTCTGGCGAGACGGCGTGGTTGTAGGCTATCTCCGCGTGGGCAAGTTGGAGATCCCACTTCTGGTCGTCACGAACAATCTTTCGGAGGATATCTCCGAGAGTCCTGTTCGTGATCTCGGTCTGACCATCAGTCTGAGGATGGTAAGACGAAGAGAAGCGGAGCTGAGTGCCGTACACCTCGTGGAGCCGTCGCCAGAATCGGTTGGTAAAGCGCGGATCACGGTCAGATATGATGCTCAGAGGCAAGCCGTGGTCACGCACGACTCGGTCAAACACGATGTCGGCGACCTCACGTGCACTGATGGCATGGCGGCACGGAACAAAGCGTGCACGCTTCGTGAAGCGGTCGACGACGACCAGGATAGCATCATGACCGCGAGGGGTCGAAGGACGAAGGGGACCGATAAAGTCCATTGAGATGGACTGCTAACGACCCTCAAGGATAGGAAGAGGCTGGAGCAAACCATAACGCAAGTGGTTCGCACTGTTTACCTCCTGACAGGTGGGACACTTTGCGACGTAGTCCTTCACAAAGTCCTTGCGCTTCGGCCAGACGTACAGGCGGCTCACAGAGTCAACGTCTTGTAGAAGCCCATATGACCGGCGGCTGCCTGGTCATGGAACTCTGCTACTGCTCGGACACGTGGCTGTCCAGTGGAGGGAATGCAAATACGGGGCTCTCTGGTGCCCTGTGAACTGTGCCAGTACACAAGACCGTTGTCCTCGAGAGAGTAGTTCGGGATGGTCTTGCCACTCCGAAGGGTCGCGTGGATGTCGCGATAGTCGGGGCAGTGGCGGTACTGAGTGCGAAACTCGTCGATTACCGAGTGGTGGACGGTGGTGACCGAGATGGAAGAGAGCTGAATCTGCTCCTGGTCGTGGTCAGGACGCCGGGATAGGGCATCTGCGACCCAATTAGTCTCACCCTTGATGTGCTCAGTGGTGAAACTAAACTCGGATAGGTCGCGCCACCAGCGAGCCTGTCGAGGAGTGAGCTTCGGTTTTGTCAGAAAAGCCTGGACAACAGAGTTGTCCGTACGCACCGTGAACGGTGCCTCGTGCAGGTAGTGACGCCAGTGCCGAGCGGCATAAACTACTGCGAGAACCTCACGTTCATCAACGGTGTAGTTTATCTCGGCGGGCAGGAGCTGACGGGAGTAGAAGGCTATCGGACAATCACCAGAGCGAGACTCGACAGTGCCGTCCTCGGCGATGGTAGGAGAATAGTCAATAGAAGGCTCGTCAGTAGCTGGACGAGTAGGCGTCAATCGGGAAGCAGTGGTAGGGGTAGGTGGTGGAAAGCAAGGGATACGAGGATGAGAGGAATCAGGAGAGGAGGGGAAGACCTGAGAAAGCACTGCTCCTACAACAAAGTCTGACGCATTGGTGGTAAGGATAAAAGGGCGATCAAAATCGGGTAGGTGAAGAACCGGTGCGCATGTCACCGCCTTCTTGAGGGCGCGAAAGGCGTCCTCGTGGAGGGGTATCCAAGCCCAGGGTGGGTTCTTTCGGAGGAGGGTGGAGGTAAGGACGTAGGAATACCTAGCGTATCCCCGAATGAAATTACTGTAGCAGTTGGTCAGGCCTAGGAAGCTGTGAAGCTGCTTGGCGGATGTGGGGGCGGGCCACTCCGCAATAGCAGTGATCTTCGCGTCGTCCATGTGAAGACCCTGGTCAGACACGTAGTATCCTAAGAAATCCACTTTGTGCTGGGCAAAGCGGCACTTGCTCAGCTTGGCGTAGAAGCCATGTCTGCGCAAGCGGTCAAGGACGTCGCGGAGGTGTCAGAGGTGCTCCTCAAGGGTACGACTATAGACCAGGATATCGTCGAGGTAGATGAGAACGTACTGCTCCGAGATGTCCCTGAATATGTCGTTCATCGCCCTCTGGAAGGTAGCGGGTGCGTTGGTGAGGCCGAATGGCATCACTGTGAACTCGTGGTGGCCGAATCGCGATCGGAAGGCGGTCTTCGACTGGTCAGCTGCAGCGACGCGGATCTGATGGTAACCGCTACGAAGATCAATCTTCGTAAAGAAGCGGTTGCCTGCTAGGCGGTCGAACAACTCATCGGAACGAGGCATGGGGTAGTTGTTCTTAACCGTGTAGCGGTTGAGACCGTGGTAGTCGCCGAGAGACGAAAAGTTCCATTCGCTTTGCGAGCAAAGATGACGGGTGCACCCCACGGGGAGTTGCTGGGTTTAATGAAACCCAGTCTCATGAGCTCCTCAAGCTGACGCTTGAGTTCGGTGGCCTCGGGGATCGAGAGTCTGTAGGGTGCCTGGTGGTGAACACGATAGTCAGGCACAAGCTGAATGGAGTGCTCGACGTCACGCATCGGTGGGATGTCGACGTACGAGAACGACGATGGAAAAACGTCGTGGTACTCTCAGATGAGGTCACAAACTGCGGGCTCCAGGTCAGCCGTATATCGTGCGAGTTCCTCAGCGTCAGCGTCAGCGCGCGACAGCAGAGTGGACTCGACGGACGGCGGAGGGACGGAAGTAGAGATGGGAACCATAGAGATAGATGGAGGATCTGGCTCCAGAGGGATGAGCTCGGCGTTAGGACAGGGTGGATCATAGTGTAAGAGATCCGTCACGTTCACCATAAAGAAGGTGACGTCGTCCTGTCGGATGAAGTGGGCAAACTATCGAGGCGAGGTGACAGTGATAGAAGGAGGTGGTGTGGGCACAGAAGGCTCCGAGGGAGGAGGATCGGGGCGTGGTGTCGCGGTGGTACCTATGAAAGGTACGCGATACGTCTTTTCACACTTCGTTTTGAGAACGAGTGTGTTGGTCACCCAATCGGCCTCGGTGCTGCGGAACCGACGAGACCACGGAGTGCCGAGAATGAAATCGTACCCCGTCTCCATCACATCGAAATGTGCAGAGGAGCGGTGGTGACGAGACGCCTGTAAACGATCAGTCGGCTCGAGAGTGAGGAAGAAAGGGAGGCCGATGACCGTTTGATCGAAGAAGCGTTGGGTCTTGTCATCCCCTATGGTGACAGAGATGGGAGATGGAGACCCGGTCGTAGGTAAGCGGGCTTCTTTCACCACACGGGGGTGAATGAAGTCGCCTTGAGAACCGGAATCCCACAGCGTTGAGTACACCCTCGTGGAGGTCCCCAATCGTACTGGGATGATCGGGAGGGTGCGATCAGGGTCCGAGAGGATGATGAGAAGGCGACGCAGGGCAGCGACATGGAGGGTGAGTCGCTCCTTACGAGCCTAGAGCATGCTCAAGTCCAGAAGAGAGGACACAATGTCCTCGCGAGTAGCGAGCTGCTCGCTGCAATGGGCTGAGCGAATGGCTCGACGCGTCGGTAGTCACGGCGGGAAAGGAGGGGAGACAGTGGTCTGCGGAGACGCAGACGGTATTGCGATAGAGGGCTGAGTACACTCTGTCGAGTCCTGCGATACCTCAGCTCCAATAGTGAGAGGGGCGAGCCGCGAGGGAGATGTCGGGAAACCCACTACTGAGGAGGGCGCAGGTGTACACTGCACCGTGGCTAGGAGGCGCCGCGAGGATGCGAGGCACTGGGGGGGGATGAAGCACGACGTTGGCGGGAAAGATCAGCGTAGTGGCGGTCAAGGGCGGTGGTGTAAGGGCACCGCGAGGAGGTATGACCGTCCTGACGGCATCGCAAACACCCATGTCGGCCCATAATAGTCGCGCGCTCCTCAGCGGAAAGGACACCGCGAGGAGGAACAAAGCCCTGAGGGAGGTCCTGCTGAGGGACCTCGGGGGGGCGACGCGCCAGCGTGACCAGGGCGGCTGCGTGCCCGGGAAAGGGTGGAGAAGATAAGCTGGAGGCGCTCATCCATAGGGAGAGTACACCCTCGTGGAGGTCCCCAATCGTACTGGGATGATCGGGAGGGTGCGATCAGGGTCAGAGAGGATGGTGAGAAGGCGACGGTAGGAGAATAGTCAATAGAAGGCTCTTAAAAAGCGAGACTTTAAGAGAAAAACAAAAGAAAATAAATAATAAAAATAATTAAGAGAATAAGTAAACAAAATGTGAAAAGAAAAATAATATTTATTTTTTTAAAATTTTCGGCAGCATTTCCATGGGGCCAAGAATGTGGCAAGGGGAAAGGAGAGATCAAGGTGAGCACACTAGGTTTCAAGATGCCGCAAATAAAAAAAAAAAAAATCAGAAAATAAATAAATAAATAAAGAAGTAAATAAGTGGATGAGGAGGTGGGGAGAAGTGGATTATCTGATTTTTCAAAAATTTTGGCAGCATTTCGTTACCCCCATGGGATCGAAGTGTGCTGAAGAGACTAAGTAAGAGAGAATCAGAAAATTTCGGCAGCACTTCGTTACCCCCACGGGGCCCCACGTGTGCCGAAAGCAAGAGAGACTAACACCTAATAAGATTTAGGGTTGCCGCCCAAAAATTCGAATTTTTAGAATAAATAAAAATATAAATTAAATAAATCAGGAAATAAGAAAAGAAGGTGGGGGAGAAGATAATTCGAATTTTTGGAAAAAAGAGAAAAGATAAATCAAAAGAGAAATAGAAAGAAGAAAAACAGAAAAATTTGAAGTAGGGGGGGAAGGAGAATGAAAAAGTGAAGGAGAAAAAAAAGAAATAGGTGGGGGAGAGAAAAATATGAAGTGGGAGGTGGGGGGATGGTGTGGTGGTAGTTGGGGGAGAAGAGGGTTGGGGAAAGGTGGAGAGGGATCAAGAAGCAAGGAGAAAAGGAGAAAAAAAAAGAAGAGATGAAGTAAATAGAGTAAAAGAATGGGTGGTGGGAGAAAATGTGGGGTGGGGGGAGGGGTATGAGTAAGAGGAGAGAGAGAGAGAGGTATGGAGAGTGGGTTAGTAGAGGAGGGGGGGAGAGAGAAAAGATACCTGGCCCTTGGTGTCTCCAAGGGCACAAGGTACACCAAGACCAGGAGGGTCTTGGCCTTCGCTGCAGCAGCCAGCTGGAGGAGGGAGGGGGGTTGAGATCTTGATCAGCCCCTACTGCAAATCTGCAGATCTAGGGTATGCTGTGTGAGCATACCCTCACCGGTGTAGAGCAGCCCCTGAAACACAGGCAGCAGCAGCCACGGGGGGGGGGGGGG